AAAAAAAAAAAACAAAAAAAAAAACCATTGTCTTCAGGTTTAACTGAATTAAAAATTCTTCTTTGCGCATTGGGCTTGGAGACCTCAAACTGTTCCCTGGAATGGGACCCACGGTGCTACAAGTGGAGACACATTGGGCCGGGCCAGCTTGGGAGTGAGGCACACCTAGTGCTCAGGGCTGTCCCGAGAGGGGAGACGGGAACGACTCAGGTACCTGGTGCTCCAGCGACGCCTCGGTCCCCCTTCAGGCCTGGGCTTCCTGGCAGGTCTATGGTGTCTCCAATGTCACCTGATGTGCAGAAAGGATGGTTGACAACCATTCTTCTGAATGGCAGGGGGTTAGCTTTGCAACTTCTGTTGTGTTACTATTCATTCATTCATTCATTCATTCATTCATTCATTCAGTAAGCTTCATGCCCAGCATAGAGCTCAATGTAGGGCCTGAACCCACGACCCTAAGGTCAAGACCTGAGCTGAGACCAAGAGTCGGATGCTCAACCGACTGAGCCACCCAGGCGCCCCTGTGTTACGTTCTTAAGATAAAGAATTTGCTTCAAAATTCCTGCCAGCATCCCCGGGGCTCGTCACCACACCCGCCTGGAATGCTCTGGATGGTGGACGCCCTACGGTCATGATCCAGGCAACACTCACCGAAATCACCTGTGGGGCCAACCTCGCCGTAAAGACCCGCTCTCCCCGGAGCTCCCTTGTCGCCCTAGAGGAAAGTCAGACACGGAAACATCTCAGGAGGCTGTTCATGAAATAAGTCTATAATTTAGGAGGGCTAGGGCGTCCAGCTACTTGGTTTGCTAAAACCACATCTCACTGTTTGTTACGTCATCATTTTGTAGCACCCCCCTCACGTTTTTCTGCATGATAGCAGGTGGTTTGCTCCCCTGTTCTTACTGAGCGGTAAAGCTTTACTGACACCAAGTATGTAGATGATGTGGGTCACTGTCATGACGGTGGTGGCGCCACTCGTGGCTGATCGCATCCCACACTCTGCTCAGCTGTGCATGGGCACCCGTGTTGGGTCCTGTCTCAGAGGCAGGTATGATGAATTTGCATGTGACAGACGTTGAGGCACAGAGAGGCTAAGTAATTTCTCAAGGTCACTCAGCTAGTAAACGGCAGAACTGGGATATGAACTTGGGCTGCTGGATTCCCAAGCTTGCTCTGGAGGTTGCACGGCTGTGCACTCCATCTGCAGACGTGAGACTTCCCTCCAGCGATGCTGATTCCTGATAATGAGCCTGGGGTGGTGTCTGGGTGGCTCTGTGACCATGCAAACCATTGGTTTCCTCTCTGCAGGGGCTTCTTCCTCAGACGGAGGGCGGCTTCCTGGTCCACCCTGATCCTCTGGTCTACATGGCAGCGTTATTGGGGACTTGTGCACGGTTACCTCTCCCAGCATGGCTAACTTGAGTCTCTGGACCACGAGAGTAGCTCCCCTTTGGGTGGGGGGTGGGGACGCTGTGCCAGAGGCTGCATCATTGTCCACATGATGATCTCTTTTCCTTTATTTTTTAAGTTTATTCACTCTTTTTTGAGGGGGGGGGGATGGAGGGGCACAGAGGGAGATAATCCCAAGAAGGCTCCATGCTGTCTGCACAGAGCCCAACGTGGGGCTCGATCCCATAAGATCCATCCCACAACCATAAGATCATGACCTAAGCCAAAAACCAAGAGTCAGCTGCTGAACCGATGGAGGCGCCCAGGGCCCCCTCCCTCTTTTCCTTTCTTAAAGCTTCCTGTCCTGAGGAGTAACACACACCAGTGTGGTGAACTCATCTCAACCGCTCCGTGACCTTGTATTCTTGTCCCACCCAGATAGACACACAGAATATTTTCAGCATTCCAGAAGGTTCTCTTGCGCCATTTCCTAGTCCCTAATCCCTGACCGACCTCTGTCACATTGTCTGGTCGGTTCTGGACTTCTACACCCGTGGGATCGCATCCTTTGTACTCTGTTTCTGGCTTGCTCGGTTCGACGTGAAGTCTGTGACAGTCACTTGGGTCGGTGCATTTATCAGCACTTCCCCGTTTACCACTGAGTGCTCGTCCACGGTCGGAACGCGCCGTGTCCGCTCACCTGTTGGCCGGCATTTGGGCTCTCCCAGTTTTTGGCTGTTAGGAAAGAAGCTGCTGGGAACACCGTCCTCTGGGCCCCTCGATAGACACACGCATCCTTTCTAAGTGACCCGAGTAATGGCACACACCTGCTGCACAGGTCCCATCAGGTTCCGGGTGACGGAAGGAAGACACCCGAAGAACTCAGATGGCGTCGCGTACGTGAAGGTGGGCAAGACACAGGCCAAGCTGGGCTGTTACTAGAGGTTTACCACAGGGTGGCCAGGCCTTCCGATCTGCCCAAAATGGGCGAACCCCACTGTGAGCGCCAGAAACGAGTGCATCACATGCTGAGGACTGTGAGTGTAAAGTACCTTTAGCCATAACAGGTTGAAGGGGTAATTTCGTGAAGTAGAACTGACCGAGGGCCCCTCTGTGCCACGTTACACGGACCACGCCCCGCCCGGCCAGTGACATCGCAGGGTAGCTGTGTCGTGAGCCTCACAGACGAGGAGGCAGGTGTGGACAGACGGGAGCCCCGCCCGGGGTCACCGTGCGTCTGTGTCACCCCGACTCGGCGCCCGCACCCAGCAAGCACTCCGAGTGCGTGTGTGGGGTGAAGGAGCCAGTGAACGGCAGGCCGGGGTGATGTCCACTCCGTGACCCAGTAATGGGTCCTCCGTCCTGATGTCACACACGATCACGTGTAGAGTTTGATGGCTGTACGTTCACGTGTAGCTTTCCCAAGGGGGCCGTGAGAGAGCACGGAGGCCACGCCTCTGCCAACCAAGGCCACCAGCAGCGTGGGAGGCACTGAAACCACCACTGGGGCTGGTGTGAGCAGCGTCCCCTTACACCGAGCCGGGGACCCAACTCCGGAGCTGTCCCTCGACCACTCGCACCCCAGCAAATCTCTGGTCGGGAGCAGAGGTGGGGCTGGGAAGTAAGAGGTGCCACTCACCCGACTTCCTGTGAACCCGGGAAACCCGATGATTCCGGGGGGGCCGGGCACGCCGGGGAATCCTGGCAATCCGGGCACGCCCGGGACTCCGATGTCTCCTTTGACTCCTTTGATGTGGCCCGGCTTCCCTGGCAAGCCGGGGATTCCAGACAGCCCGGGGATCCCTGGCATCCCCGGGACACCTGTGGGGAGACCCGAGTGTGAGGAGGCAGCACCCGCCCCAACCTTTCCCATTGCTGCGGATCCTAAAGCGGGAAAGGGAGGCCACTCAGGCGGCAGGGAAGCCGCGGGCCCACTTGCTGAGGTGTCAGGGGCCCAGGGCTGGGACACGGCAAAGCCTGTGTTGGGCAGAGCGGCATCTGGCGTAGACCCTGCTGCTCCTGAAGCGGAGAGGGGTGGGCGGGGAGGGGCGGCGATGCTCACCTTTTAGGCCCAGGTAGCCTTTCAACCCCATAGGCCCCTCGTCTCCTTTCTCCCCTTTGATGTCCTTCATTCCTGGCTGGATGATGGGAGGTGGTCCTGGGGGCCCCGGGTCCCCGCGGCTGCCTGTGAGGGAACAGGATGCGGTCTCGCCGTGGGCCTCTGGGCCACTCGCCCGCTGCGATCCCGGCAAGCGCGTCCCGAGAGGCTCTGAGCCTCGGGGCGGCACGTTCCCTGGCAGCCCCCACTGGGCCTGAGCCGGGCAGGGGCCTCCGAGAGACGCCGAGGCTGATGGAAAACGCCTGTCTTCTCCCACAGCCCCTTCTCCACGCGAGCCAAGTGTGGACCCGCGCCCCCTACCGCTATCGAACTTTAGGACATTTTCATCACCCTGGAAAGAAACCCCGTGCCCATCAGCAGTCACCCCAAGTGCTCCCCACCCCCAGCCCCGGGGGACCACTAATCCACATTCCGTCTCTAGATTCGCCTGTTCCGGATGTTTCACGTAAAGGGAAGCAGACCACGTGCGGCAAAATGTCCTCAAGTTTTACGCACGTTGAGCGTGTGAGAGGCCCTTGTTCTCTACGGCTGGCCAGCATTCATGTGACACCACATTTACCCACGACGCGTATCCAGGGTGTTTCTGCTTTTGATTGTCATAAACAAAGTTGCTCTGAACGTCCGTATACAAGGCATGTTTTCACTCCCTCGGGACGGAAGTGCTGGGTGCCTGTGTTGATCTTTCCACGACACCGTCAAGCTTCTGTCCACACGCATCTCGCGTTCCCGCCAGCAGCGTGTGATACCCACGTTCTCATCAGCACGTGGTGTTATAATTACAGGTTTAGTGGCCGTGATGACACTTTCAGAACAAGGGCGTTTGAGCAAAAGTCATGAAAATGTGACTCGTTGGAATACACTTCCTAAACAAGGAGCCTCATGTTTGGGGTCTTGAGATGCCCCCGCACCGGGGTTTGAACTGGCCTCACGTCTGTGGCACAATTCGTGGGCACAGTCCCTCCACCGGGAACACTAGGTCCCCATTTGCCAAATGGCGCTCGCCTCCTTCAGAATTTGTCTTCTGCTTTTCACCTGGCTTCCCCTGACCTCACGCTCATCATGGGATAATCATGGTGGGACGTTTCTTATGATGCATTATGAGATCCTTGATGCGGCTGCCTGTTTTGTTCTTAACAGTTTCCTTTGTGTAAAAAATACAGGCCATGGGGATGTGATGTGCCATGTAGTGACCATGGCCAATAACACTGACCTACGTATCTGAAAGTTGCTAAGATCGTAGATCTGGAAAGTTCTTACCGTAAGAAAAAAATTCTGTAACTATGTATGGTGACAGATGTTAACTAGACTTACGTGGTGACCGTTTCACAGTATATACAAATAATCGTTATGCCATGCACCTGAAACTAAAGTTGTATTCAATTATATCTCCATAAAAACTTTTGCTGAATACCAAACAAGCTAGTTTCCTTTGGTTGGGATTCTTCCTTTATTATACTGCTGGTGGGTTGAGGCAGAGATAAAGCCTTCTGATTTTTGTTAGTTTTCCTTCTTTTCTTTTCTCTTTTTTTAAATGTTTATTTAGTTTTGAGAAAGAGAGAGACAGAGAGAGACAGTGTGAGCAGGGGAGGGGCAGAGAGAGAAGGAGACACAGAATCGGAAGCAGGCTCCAGGCCCTGAGCTGTCAGGACAGAGCCTGACACGGGGCTTGAACTCACGGACAGCGAGATCATGACCTGAGCTGAAGTCAGATGCTCAACCGGCTGAGCCACCCAGGCACCCCAGTCTCCTTCTTTTCTAGTTGTGCCCAGCTTTGGGCTCCTGGAAGGTTCGGTCCAAGCAGCACTACGCCCCACAAAAGTGGGTCCCAACCTTGTCAGGACAATGTTAAGAGAGGTGGACATACCTTTCACACCTGGCTCACCAGCCAGACCCTTCAGTCCTGGAATTCCAAAAAATCCGGCCTCTCCTTTGTTTCCCGGAAGCCCAGCTCTTCCCTTGAGCCCAACCATGCCTTGGAAACCGTCCATCCCGGGTGAACCTCTACTGCCTTCAGAGGAAACGAGAAAAGTGCTGGGTTAGGCCTGGAGAAACACACGGGGTGTTTCCATCTTGCTTGTCTGAGACATTCCTGAGGAGTGGCTCGGGTAGTAGGGTGCCTGACCTAAACTAGGGATTTCCGGGGCCCCATTCCTCAGGTCACCCGCCGGCTGACTGCCCCCCAGGGACAAGGCATCAGGCAGATGTACATGGTCACAGGAAAGACACAAGGCAGCCGAGGTCCTTGGTGGGCCTCAGGGGGTAGCCGAGGTCCGTGGGCCTCAGGGAGAGGACGCTAACACTGCAGCCAGCACGGGAACCACGAAGGATCGAAGGACAAACATCTCTGTGTGGCCCCACAGTCAAGGGCCAGGGGCTCCCTTTCTAGGAAAACTGGTTTGTGTACAAATAAGCCCACCCTGGTGACCAAGCGCTTTCCTGGTTTTGGTTTTGTATTAGCCAACCGGCCTCGGGATATGCAACCAGCCTCCGGGGGCCTCCACATAAATCTCCCACGCAGACCCCAAGTCTGCTCCCTCGCTTTCAGGAAATTAGGACAGGGCATTTGGGGGCATGTCCGTCACACCCAGCCTGGCAGCACGGGCCGGCTTTCCCAGGTATGACACCTCCTGGGGGCTGGTGAGGGGCTGGCCTCTCCTGCAGCCATCCTGAGTCCCGGTCACCCCGGTACCCCCCTGGGGGAGTGCCCTGTCTGCCGATCCTCACCTTTGGGTCCGGGGACACCGGGAATTCCGCTCATTCCTTTAAATCCAGGGCCTCCTGGGGGACCCCTCTCACCCAACAAACCAGGGTCACCTCTGTCGCCGGAAAGACCCTTCATGCCCACAGGGCCGGGGATGCCTATGTCACCTGGGTCCCCTCTGTCCCCAGGCAGACCTGAAAGGCAGAGGAGGAAAGAAAGTAGAAAAACACGAATGAACTCGGAAGAGCTAAATGCCTCTCGGACCCCTCACCTGGGACAGCACCCACCCCCAGGGCCATCTGGGCCCCAGCCTCCAGGGCTGTCTCTTGGTGGGGGGACCTGGGGGGGATGGCCTCTGGCCTCCACTTGCTTCCTGCCCCCCTTTCCCCCCAAGGAAGCTCCTGTTCTTCCCCAGTTCTCTCACTTTTAGAAAACAAATAATTTCCCCCCTTCAGAGAACAGCGGTGATTCTGTAGTGGAAATTTCACGTTTTTCCTAAGTGACATCTTAGCCAGAACCCCAATATACACGAGGTACGGAGCACGGGCAGGTCTCTCGGCCTGTGTGAACTCTCGTTTGGCACAATGCGTGTCCTGTTTCTGGAACATGTTATGGGCTGAACTGTGTCTCCCTCCCCTCCCCTCCCCCACCAGTTCCTATGTTGAAATTCTAACCCCCAGTTAGGGGAGTGTGCGTGTATCTGAAGGTAGCACCTTTAATTAAAGTGAAATGGGCCCTAATCACATGTGACTGGTGTCCTCATGAGAAGAGACCAGGACCTACACACAGGGGGGGACAAGCACGGGAAGGAGTGGCCAGCTGCTCAGTGTGGGTATTTTCCAGATCCTTCGCAGCTCTGGGGCGGGGGTGGGGGGAGGGTCCTTGGGGCCCAGTTTGAGAACTCCCCCAGGGAAGGGTGGGGCCAGTTCACTTGTGCAAGTGAGGCCAGACCCCTCCCCCTCCATGGGATAGGGGATCCTTACCTCCGCGGCCTGGGGCGCCTGGCAGCCCCAAGGGCCCTTCCTGGCCAGGAGCTCCTGGGAAGCCATGCAGTCCTGGTGGCCCGGGCAGGCCTGGCTGGCCCGAGGGTCCTGGGAAGCCCGGCTGGCCCTTCAGGCCCGGCATTCCCGGCATGCCCTGGCTTCCTGTGGACACCAGACAAGCCCCGTGAGGCCGACCCCACACCCTTCGCTGCACACAGGCCATACCTCTCAGGCTCATTCTATACAAACAGGACGCAATTATTTTCTAGACTGTGAGAAGCCCGGAAAATACACAGAAGTATCAAGGGTATTACAGTAGCTCAGGCTGTCCCCCAGGGGCCACCACTGACAGCTTGGTGTATGTCCTTCCGGCCTCTGTTCACACAAACACACCTGGGAACCGAGGTTCACAGACCTCATCCCTTGCTGGGAGCTCAATTTTTGGCTTTTTTCTCCCCAGCTGACATTACCTTTTGAGCATTTTGCCACATTTGATCATGACCTGAGCCGAAACTAAGAATCGGACGCTCAACCAACGGAGCCACCCAGGCGCCCCCCCCCCCCACAAAACATTCTTCACGTTTTAAATGGCTGCCTGAGTATAGCATCACGTTGTGTGGACACATGCCGTGCACGTCTTTCTTTGCTCTTACAAACGGTGCCGTGAGGAAGCTGATTTTGGAGCACAGAGCTGGGCATTTCTTCGGGAAGGTGCCCTAGAAACAGACTCCGTGGGTCAGAACTGCCTTCCACACACACTACGGCACGGCTTTCCGGCTTCTGCCCCCCGCCTGTCCTGGGGGGCTCACCCGGCGTGGGGCTGGTGCTGAAGGGAACAGAAGCCTGGCAAGGAAGATACCCGTCTACCTGCACGGTGGTGTGAGTGACGTTTCCTTCTCCTGGTGTTCGCCTTCTAATGCGATTTTTGTTCTGTGCTTCTACTTTCCTTTGGGGATTTTGATATTTTTATTATGGATTTTAGCATTCCTCATACACGTTGGCTACTCTTTCTTCGTGGCTATCGTAAAGTTTACTTTGCTGCCCAAATTCTTCTCATTGCTTTTGACATGAAGATTAGCATTCGCGCGGAAATTTAACGCGGTGTGCGCGCATGTGTAGGTGCACGTGTGTGCACACACCCGGGCACGGTTTCTTCCCTTGCTTTTACGTTCAGAATATCCTGCCGTACCCAGTAGTCATGTGAGCATATATCTTCTAGTTTTTAGATCCTAAGTCCCCCAGCTTCCTTCCATTCAGGCATTTTCACCTTTCTTGGACTTTGAGGTTGGCCACATCCATCCAGTGAATAGCAGGAGGGGCCGTGCCCGCCATCTCACAGTGCTTGTCGGGTGACCTTTAAGTGCACCTGCTCACGTATCCCATGACCACCCTCCCGAGTGTGTAGGCTGACCCGAGAGGAGGAGGGACCAGTCGGGGGATGGAGGGGAGGGGCATTGGCAAGAGGGGCCAAGCCGGTCTTGGGCCAACTCAGAATCCGACTTGCCAGCCTGAGTCCCAGTTTTATCTGCTATGTGGGCAGAATGGGGGAGGAAGGTCTGCAAACAGCGGGGCGGATTCGGGGCAGAAGGCTGCAGAAAGTAAGTCTCTGGGAAGGCACGGATGCACGTCCTCCCGTTTTCCAGCTTCACAATGGGATCCGAGGGCACTGTTCCCGCTCTGCTTCTGTCTCTGGAGGGAACAGCTCACGGTGCCGAGGGTGTCAGATGGCAGGCAGCACTGCAGGCGCTCAAGTCTAACCGGGGAGTCAGGATCCTGCCGCGATGCCGTGCTCCATGAGGACGGCAGGTACCTTTACCCGCAAGGACCCTCCGGGCTGGTGAACGGAGGCAGCCCAGCCAGCCAGGAAGGTCACGGGAGCCCAGGCTGCAGGGGCGAGGGCATCCGGGCACGGTTTCGGGAGCGCCTCCTTCACAGCAGTGGGGAGTGGGCAGGACACGATGCAGGGGAAGGAGGGAGAACCGGCCGCTGCTACTTCAGCGGCCGCCTTAAAACAATCCGGTGTGGCGGCCTGTGCCTCCGGCTTTCTGTCGTGATCCTGGAACTCAGGATTTTAAGCCAACAGCCATTTCCAGAACACGGGCCAAACAAGGAACAACTACCAAGGATCCGCTTCCCTCAGCAAAATAGCATCTAACTCGTGGACCCGCACCCCTACTTCATGCAGGGGTTCCGCTCCGCCAGGCTGCGTCCGGGCTCCACGGGGCCTCGTGCACCCCACCTGCCATGGCCCCACGGCCCGGGCAGGACGGACGACATGGAAACAGGTTCTCAAGCCTCCGATGCTTCTGAGGTCAGAGCTTGTACTGACAGTGTTTCTGCCTGGGCAAGCTGGACACTGAGGTGGCCTCGGCCGTGGGAAACCGTCACACGCTTGAAAGTAAACCTGCCGTCAGTTGCTGTCCTGCTGAGGTGCCTTGATGTCCGCAGGAAACAGTTACATTTAGAAAATCCATCACAAGTGCCCCCTGTCAAGAGCCTGTGGGCAGTTTCTGCAGCCGGACAGCAGCCCCGACTCTTGGGGACACAGTGCCTGCCACGCCTTTAGACAGCCACCAGGGAGGCTGATGCACGTGGTCCCCGGTGTCCACACTCGCCGAGTTACGCCGTGTGTTCCATCCCTACCGGCAGGTGGCCAGGTTGGCAGGGACAGCCCCGGATGTCCTGGCATTGGGTCCCCACTGCTTGATGGTTCTACACAGGCCTGTGCAGCTGATTGGCTGTGCGTAAGAGGGTGATCGTGAGTGAGAGTGTGTGGGCACACACGTGTGGGTCTGTCATCATGTATGCACAAGCAGGTGTGTGTGCGTACAAATGTGTGGATACACGCACACGAGCACGTGTATATGAGTGTGTGGGCGCATGAGCATGTGTGCACACACATGTGTGTGTGTGTGAATTGTGTGAGTGTGAGCACGTGTGTGTGCACTCTAGCCCTCTTAGCCTCCTCCTTCCATTCTTTGGGCCTCCTCCCCGTGGGTCTCTAGGGGAAGCCCGGCCCCCACGCTGGGGGTTCTCCTGGCCAGCCGACAGGGCAGGCGTGATCAACATGGAAACCCACCTGCCCCGTCTCCCCTCCCCGCCCCAGCCCCAGGCCTCCTAGAACCTGACGGGCTCCCCCAAACACCACTGCTCTCCTGAGCTTGCTGAATTCGCCTGCCTGTGGACAACCGGCTTCACCCGCCCGGGTGTTCGTGTAAAGGATGCCGGGCGAGGTCTGATGGCACTGGAGGATGGGACGCCCGCTCCCTGCCCCACAGGAAGCCCCTTCCGCCCGGGTTTGGGAGCAGACATGTGGTGGATACGCAAAGTCACGGGTCTGCCTGCATCTGGGTATCTGAACAGGAGCACCACTGGCCTGGTGTCTCCCGTGCGCGGTGCACTGAACAGAAATGCTTGGTCTTTAGTGACGGTCGTTCATAGACAGAGGGCGTCTGCGGTTCTCAATGCCAGCTCTGCATAGATTGGGTACTTCACTCCTCAGCCAGCAGCCTTCCCACTTTGCTAAACGTGCACTGAGGATATTGGGAACACTAAAGTGTTTTACATGAGGGGCGCCTGGGGGGCTCCGTCGCTTAAGCGTCCAACTTCGGCTCAGGTCATGATCTCGCGGATTGTTGGTTCGAGCCCCACGTCGGGCTCCGTGCCGACAGCTCAGAGCCTGGAGCCTGCTTCGGATTCTGTGTCTCCCTCTGCCTCTGCCCCTCCCCCACTTGTGCTCTGTCTCTGTCTCTCAAAAATAAACATTAAACAATTTAAAAAAATTAAAAAGCAATGTTTTACACCAGTCCGTTTTTACACCATCCAGTTAAAGCGTGTCCCAGCTCAGTTCTGTCTCCTGCCTCGCTCTCTTCCCAAGCTTGGCCCTCCTCTCTTCTCACCACCCAAACACATTCCCTGAAAGCACCAGCGAGCCCCCCTGCCCCCCATTCACGCCCTGCTGGAGAGCAGAGGGTGTGTCTCATTAATCTGCACCTGTGAGTCTCAAATGGCCATCTTTCTTGGCTGTGAAAAGGTAAGTCACAGGACGCTGATGACCGTCCTAACCCGCTTCGAAGGAACACTGGTACTGAGCGTGGGGCAGAAACCACGTGTGCTGTGGCTTCTCCTCAAATCCTCAGGAGGGATTTCAGACCCACACTCGGAACCCACGGTGTGGTGGGATCGGGCCCCCCGCTCTCCTCCCACCGCCAGGACTTACCCCGGAATCCAGGTGGACCTCTCTCTCCCGGAGGGCCTTTCAGCCCAGGGTGTCCGGGGAGCCCAGCATCTCCCCTGGGCCCAGGCTGGGCTCCCAGAACTTCTCCGGGAAGGCCCCTGTCCCCTGGGGGCCCGACGGGCCCCGGCAGACCGGTGGGACCTGGGTGTCCATCTGGGCCACGGAGGCCCGCCACACCTTTGGATCCTCGGGGCCCCACGAACCCTGAAAGGAAACACAGGTTAGTACCGTGATGGCCCAAGAGAGGTATAGGAGAGAGGCCGGAGACAGCAAGATTTGCAGTCGGGGGGCCTCGGCTCAAGCCCCGGTCCCATCACCTACCTTGGGACCACAGCATTCTTCCCCCTCCGCCATCTGGCCCCCAGCCCTACCATTTGGCTAACGTGAAGGCCTTTAGAACCACCTGCTTCTTGGATATGAATCTTCCTATTTGATGGGCTCCCTTGTTGATCAAATAATCCCCAAAGAATGGCTTCTACGGACCTTCCAAGTTATGTGTGCAAGTGGGGACGGAGACCCGGGGTGAGAATGACCAGGTCTCTCGAGCCCGAGCTCCACCTCCCCGGTCACAAGTCCCTGACCATTAGTCCGTTTGGAAATGCTCTGGAGGGGGCCAATCGCCCTATTGTTTTCACGGTCTCAACTGTCCACGTCTGGATAGAAGCACGGTGGCTGTCACATGCCAGTGCCTTCCCGTGTCCTCATCCCTGATGTGACCTGACACTGAACTCTCAGAGTGGATGGTCACGTGTCTGTTCAGGAGGAAAGCTTTCTGAGGTCATTACTGCTGTGGCCGTGGAACGCTGGGAAGGGTCGACCCGACAAAAGAGACCCCACACGCGGGGTCCGGGGCCTTTCCCAGGACAAGGCTCGCCACAGCCCGCCTGCAAGATGGGCTGACCCCTACGGCCGTGTCTGAAACACGGAACAACAGATCCGGACTTTATGGGAGTATTAATGAGCGGGACCCAATGCCAGAACTTCAGTGATGTGATTTATTCACAGAAAGTAGAGACTCGGCTTTTATGGAGACGTTCAAAGCCGTACGTGGGCACCGTGGGCTCAAATCGTGGGCACATGTGTGTATGTGGATCTGACATCCGGAGTAGACTCTGTGTTCTGCAGCCTTCAAAGTTGGGCATTTGGTTTTCTTCTGCATGTGGCACATTCCGTGTCATAAAGAGTGACACGTGTGCAAAATCAGAGTATGCCAGTGCCTCACTTACCCCTTTCCTCCATTCTACCCCTATCTCCTCGTTCACTTACGGGCTCACGTTTCAGTACAGAACAGGCTTCCCATCAACACCGTCCGCCCCCCGCGTGTGCTGGTGACGGGCACATCCCGCTCAGTCTCTACCACCGGAGTGTGCTCTGGACAGCTCACGCCCGCCTGGCTGGCACCCAGCTGGTGACCGGGTCCCCTTCCCACGCAGGGCAAGCAGGTGTTAACAAACTACTGTCCTCTCAAGAAATTCACACTTTGCTTTGGTATGTGTGACAGGACCGAAGTGACCGTGCCCGAACTCCTCGATGTCTGGGTGCCCCCAGAGCAGGGCAACAGGCTGGTCCTCTGGTGCTGGCATGAAAACTCTCCCGTGTTTGTCTCCAGTGCAGGTTTTCACCAGCCCCATGCTGCACGGGGAGCACGCTCCCTCTTGTCGCACGACACGGAGATACTTGTCGCGAAAGGTAACAGGGTGAACGTTCCCTGCGGTCCCGTGTCCCCAAGCACCCCCCGGCACAGTCCCATGTCCGGAGCAGTGAGTCTGGGGGGAAGAGGTACCAGGACTGACCCAGACTGGTCCAATTAGGGTTAAACCAACTGCCAGAGTGTGACACAGGGAAGGGGCAAAATTCAGACAGTCTTTGCCGAACATATCTGCTGAGGGTCTAAACCTCAGGACACCACGGTGCCTGGCTCTGTGCGATCGTCCAGATGTCTGGACTGTTCTGTTTAGTTTCCCGAGACTGGTTTGTAGGGAATGCAGACGAATCCGAATGCTGGAGGTCACATTATAAAGAGACGGTCTGCACTCCTGGGGGCAGTTCTGCCCCGTTCGTGTGGTGTGTAAGGGGACGTGTGGCCTCTGTCTCCAGCTGTGTGGGGGGTAAACTTGCTGGAGGCAGATTTCACTCCTCCCAATGAGTGATTCCAGTAGAGGCTGGAGGGGCTCCTGACCAGGACCCTGCAGGGGACATCTGGCCTTGGGCCAAAGCGACTTCCACAGTCCCTGTTTCAATAACACGATTCTAGGGGCGCCTGGGTGGCTCAGTCGGTTGAGTGTCCGACTTTGGCTCAGGTCATGATCTTGCGGTCTGTGAGTTCGAGCCCCACATCCGGCTCTGTGCTGACGGCTCAGAGCCTGGAGCCTGGAGCCTGTTTGGGATTCTGTGTCTCCCTCTCTCTCTGCCCCTCCCCTGCTCATGCTCTGTCTCTGTCAAAAATAAATAAACATTAAAAAAATGTTTTTGGGGTGCCTGGGTGGCTCAGTCGGTTAAGCGTCCGACTTCAGCTCAGGTCACGATCTCGTGGTCCGTGAGTTCGAGCCCCGCATCGGGCTCTGGGCTGATGGCTCAGAGCCTGGAGCCTGCTTCGAATTCTGTGTCTCCCTCTCTCTTTGCCCCTCCCCTGTTCATGCTCTGTTTCTCTCTGTCTCAAAAATAAATAAAGGTTAAAAAAAATGTTTTAAAAAAAATAACACGATTCTAAAACTGTGTGCCTCTGCACACCAAGTAACACAGCCATGTCCATTCACACTGCTGGAGCCACAACTGCGTGGGGCACCTGTGCTTGGGCACACGGGACCGTGCCGGGGGGTGCTTGGGGACACAGGACTGTGGCAGGGGTGCTTGGTTGGGGACATGGGACTGTGCCAGGGGGCGCTTGGGGACATGGGACCGTGTCGGCGGGTGCTTGGGGACACGGGACTGTGTCGGCGGGTGCTTGGGGACACAGGACCATGTCAGTGGGAGTGCCGACACGTCTCCCCACAATCAGTTACTGGCAACACGCTCACTCCCTGCCGTCTTATGCTCTCTTAGCCACCCACGGTTTCTGTAATTCTTTGCCACGTCAAATGTAGATGGAACCATTTGCTCAGACAAGCGCCCACTGAAGAGTGAGTAGGCAGTGGCATGAAAAGTGGACACAGGTGTCCTTTGTGTGGTGTCTGGTGCGTGATCAGCAGATTGGAATGGACGACCGAGGGCTCCATGCCTTTGACAGTCCCAGAAGAGGGGAGCGTTGTGTTGCCCTCAGAATGTTTCACACCAACCAGAGGACATCGCTCTGCACACCCACCTCTTTTCTCCTCCGGGAGCTGCAGGGGTCTCATGCAAACTCCAGCAGGACATTAGTGATGGGAACGTCAAGAATTTAATTTCCCAACCGCAAGAACAAAGTGGTCACTGAGCACACGTTGAAAGCTTCTAAGTGTCCAAAGACAATAGAGCTGGGGCACCCATGCCACACACAGTCATTTCCCGAACCTAAGGGTCGTGTGGGGGTCCGCCCCTGCCTTACCTGGGGGTCCTGGGAATCCTTCACGACCTGGGTCTCCTGGGAGACCCTTGAGCCCTGGTACTCCGTCAGCTCCTGAGGGTCCTGGTATCCCTGGGAGGCCCTTGGCACCTAAGCCAACCGAAGAAAGCAGGACACAGGTCAGAGCCCCATGTGCAACCCCAGCCGGAAATGCGTGGAAGACGGTCAGGTCTAGCACCTGACTTAGCATGGTCTAGGAAATGATGAGGACGGGGAATGTGAATGTAAAATGCCACATACTTTTCTTAAGTTTATTTTGAAAGAGTGAGAGTGCAAGCGGAGGAGGGGCAGAGAGAGAGAGAGAGAGAGAGAGAGAGAGAGAGAATCCAAAGCAGGCTCCTTGCTGTTGGCACAGAGCCTGCCTCAGGGCTTGATCCCACGAACTGTGAGAAAACGACCTGAGCTGAAATCGAGAGTCAGATGCTTAACCACCTGAGCCCCCCCAGGTGCCCCTCAACACTGGGCACTTCCGACCTCTGGCCACATCCCACTGCAAACCCCACAGACCGCGGCAGCTGTCTTGGTCAGTCGCTACCAGAATTCACTTGAAGTCTTCCCTCGAGTTTGCTGCGTCCAGAGCCAATTTATCCAGATTTGAGAGATGTTGACTTATACTACTTGTAATGAATGTGTTAGACTCAAAACCAGACGAAACCTCACACCAAATAAATGAACTAATTCTTTACTACCGGACGTTGTTGACCTGAATCCTTTCCCATGGGAAGCAAACTTGAGGGATTTTTCCCCGGGCATCTCTGTGTCTGTCTGGTCCAAGCCTCAGAGATTCCCTTCCACCAGAGGCTCTCGGAAACCACAGCCAGTACACCTGCCTACTGCAGGTGGCCGGGCACCGGGAATCACCGAGATTCCCTGCAAACACTAGTGAGAGCAGCAGCCTCCTCCCTGCCGGGTGCGAGGCAGCGTGCAGGGCAGGGGCCGGCGAGGGGATGGGCGGGGAGGTCTGTAGGTTCACTAGGGGTTCTAGCTTCTCCAGCTGCCGTCCCGTTAGAGATGCCCTTGAAAGTATGAGGCTGGGCTGGAGCTTTGCCATCACGTAGACGGGGCCAAAGCCAGCCTCCTGGAATTCTCAATATTTTTCTATGTGGGGACAGAAAGATGTCATGAGAGAATTGTGGGCACCCTTCCCTTGGGGCAGGGGAGCAGGGGGCCACATGTGGCACCCCGCAGGCCCCCTCTGGGGCCCCATTCCCTGACACTCCCATCGAGGCAAGGCTGGACTCGGGAGGTCACACGGGGTGAGGACACAAGCTCACCTCTACTCACTGCAAATAAATGCACAGATTCATTCCACTGATGAAACGTCCCCCTCAGATCACCAGCTGCTCAGCACAGTTAAGTGACTTTAAACAGACCCCTACGCTGGGCCGTGGAGACGGGGAAGGCTCAGTGGGGACCAGAAGTCGCTGTCTAACGACGTCCTCGCTAACACATGACTCCGCGGGTCTAATCCTGCCGCTCTATGACGAACGGGGTGGACTCAGACCCAGAGACACAGCAACGTGCTCGTTCAGAACTCCGATACACCTGGGAGCCTGTAACACGAGTGAGTGAGGAACGGGATGACAGGGCTGTGCACAGAGGACGTCCCACGCGAGCACCAAGTTCGACAGACAAGACAGGACAAAACAAAGCAAAAGACACACTTTCAGGTTGTCTGAAGTGAAGGTGCGTGAGGTGAGTCCGTTTCTGAAAGGAAACCACCATGGGGCCTGAGGGCGGGTGCAGCCGAGCCCCAACAGGACACACAACCCAGCACGCGGCCTCTGGGCTGTCCTGCTGCTACGGGGTCACGGGCACGTCCCTTCCATGAGCGGGAAGCACCACAGACCCTTTTGTGCAAGTTCACGATCACCTTCCGGACCGAGGGTTAGTCTGCACCAGACACGTGGACTCTACGAGCTCCTTACAGCTTCATGTCCTTAAAATGCGATCAAAATCCTCCCCTCAGACTCAATTCCTGTGTATTTTGGGCCCTGCTTCCACCCAGTTTCTGCCGAAAACGGTCCCTCTGCAGGCTGCTGACCCCAGGGCCCCGGTGTTAGTGGCCGTGTGAAAGCCTGTGGACAGACAGACGTCCAGAGCTAGAGCAGGGAGGATAATGCAGATAACGGAGTGAGGAAGACACACGCTGGGTCCTCAGAGGACAACACAGGGACATCTAACACTGCTTTCCGTGCATATGACACTTCTGCATTTCGTCCTGTTGTCCCCGGATCCCGCATCACCGTGAGTCCTGGAGATGCCCTTAAGGTCCGGGGACGCACACCGTGAGGCAACATACTTTCCAGTCTGACTGTTGTCTCGCACTGGCTCAGCACCGCACTTCACAGTTGACACTGGACCTCACCCCCAGCGCATCGTTTGCAAAGTGGGAGGAGTCTAGAACGCCTGTATTAGTCCTCTGGTACAGCTAAGAGGACAAAGTTCCACAAGGGAGGAGAGAGATGCCCAAGGCCCTGCTGCCAGTTAGCGTGAGAGCCGGGCCCCACGGCAGGGCTCTGGCCATGTGCCCCACGCTCTCAGCACCGAGCGAGTTGTTGAATGATCGAGGCTCTCGCCTTTGCCCGGAGGAGGACCTGCCCGGGGCCCTGAACTGCTCTGTCCTGGGCTGACGGACACAGACATCTGGGCGTCACCCAGTGGTGGGGCTGCCCCGACCCTGCCCGCTATCTTTTTTGAAAAGCCACACACGCTGCAGGTGGGCGTGGACGGCTTCCCACACTGGGCTCTGCCACTGAGAGCCTTGCTCCAGTCACGCGGGTGCTTGGTTGGGTGATGGGTCCGTGCCAGTAGCCACACGGGGCTGCCGAGATGCACCGCTGGCCTTGTGAACTTCTGTTCCCCTCCGTCAAAACCCAGAACAAACAATCCCCTCCCAGAGGCTCATCCCACAAAGGCTGGGGCACCAAGGGGGAGAAGTGGCACAGAAGCGAGCTTCCTCCAGTCCGGAAGCGGCGGGCCAGTCTCTGCCACTCTTTGGTGCCCACTGAGGCTGGTGCCATGGCGGGGGCTGGGTTCTGTGCAGTAAGAATTCACTCCTCTAGCCCGGGGCTCAACTAGGCGTTAGTCGCCACATGCATTTTCCACGGCGAGGAGGAAAAGGCCGCCTCCCTACCCAGGTGACCGAGGTCTGCGGTCATGTGCCAAGGTTGCGGAATGCGGCAACGTCCAGAGGCGGGGAGGGGTGCAGGGGCAGCAGGGGGATGAGCAAAGGGGCCAGAAGGATGAGGAGGACACAGGGGAGGCTGGAAGACACCCCGTTTACCTGTGGGGCCTGGGGGTCCCCGTAGGCCTGGCGCTCCCTTGGGTCCTCCGACGCAATCTGGGAAGAGACAGGAAGAAAGACAGACAAGCTGGGGCACGATCGACTCTCACGGCTGTGGGCCCTGCCAAGGTCAGAAGCACCAGCCCTGAAAACCGGCTACCACTCTGTGATCAGAGTAACTTAACGATTTAATGAATCTTGATTCTAACGTAAAGGAAGGTTTACTTTCACCGTGCAATGAATCGGAATATCAGTACTAAGGCCAACAAAGTCGACCCAGTCCAATAAAGCCAGCATGGGGCTGGCGATGCTACATCCCCACATTTAGGGCGACACCTGGGCACAACTGAGCTAGTCTGGGTCCATCCTAGTCTGTCAGTGTGACTGCCTTTCTTGTGTCTGGGAATGGTCACCAGTGGATGGAGATAGCTTGCAATTTCGAAAGGAATTCTTTGACTTCTGCTTTGTGACTTTGAATAGTTTCAGAATTGGCCGCGTGCGTTAGCTGCTTTGAGAAATGAAACCCGGGCTGCAGCCACTTTCGGGCGGTGTGGACGAGGGTGGGGGCATCACGTGGTGGTACTGTGGCCTTCGTCTGAGAGAGCCCCTCACAGACACAGCAGCTCTCCAAGACGTGCTTTGTCTGTCTGCCCGGGCCCTGGCCTCCTCTGACGCACTAGGGGTCCCCGAGGCACACGCTGGCCAGCCCAGCTCATCAGAATAGAGGGACAGGATGTCCCAAGGGCACGGCCTCCCCCCCAGACCCTCATGCCCAGGGACGCTCCCACCAGCTCTCCGAAGGCTTGCAGGTGACGTTCCTGCTCTGCACGCACGTGCCTGGTCTGTCCCCGCACGTCGACCCCACCTCACGCAGGAGACCCACATGTCCTGATGCTACGTCTCCGACCCTGACCTCGATCCCGAGGCTCACACCCAAACTTTGGTCGGCCGCTTGGGACCTATTGCTGCCACATGTTCTACGAGCATCCTGAACTCTGCGCCAACCTCTTTGCCGATCTCTTCAAAACCCTCCCGAGGCTGGCACGCCCTTCGTACTCTGGACACCTCCTGGCTTCCCACTGCGGTTCCTGACATGCCCTGGAGACTCTGGCCCTCTGTGCTGGCTGGGCCCGCCTCCGATGGCATCTCTCCCGTCTGTTTTGCCACCACTAGGCCTCGGCACAGGGTCCCTGCACATCCCTTTGTTATCGGGCAGCGCCTGTGCTTTCTAGCACTCATTCATCGCTAGACCACACTCTCTTCTGACAGACATCTGGAGCAGTTTTCACCACACACAGCCAGTGAATACAGCTCACACACACACACACACACACACACACACACGAATGTATGCATACACTCTAAGTGTGACAGTATTTTATCAGCACCGTAGCCTGGGGCTTCGCACTGGTGGGAAGCCTGGCAGGTCCGTGTTTCACTGTGCGTCCCCTCCCCTGGATGATGAGCTGACGGAGGGGTGCCGACCTGCGGGAGCTCACGGCAGCCACTCACTCGTTAGTGGCCCATCTTACAAACCCAAGGCTTTCAAGTGTCCTAGAGCCTCCTGGTCTCTATCACGGTACCTGGCCGCACAGTCTTCTGTCCGTCATCTCCGATGGGCCTTTTCACACCTGTATCGCAGTCTGGGAGCAAGACACAATGCAGGGGTGAGGCGATTCTGAAGCAACCGAGAGTTGCCAACCTATACAAGGGCGTGTGCCGGGGGGCCGGGGGAAGGGGGGGCTGGGACGGCAGGGAATCCAGAAGCGCACGCCTGAACGGTGTGTGGAGCCCCCGTGACCAGGGCACCGGAGGGACTGGCCCACCCGAGGGTGACCTGACTGTGGTCGGCCAGGAAAACCCCGCGTTGGTTTGTCTGTGCCCATGACTGATGGTGCAACATGGACTGTCCCGTGACGCCAGGGGAATTTATACATTTGCTGGAGAAGGGGAAGATCCCACGACTGAAAGATACAGAGAGGACTCCTCCGTACCTATCTGTCCGGGAGCACCCGGGGGACCAGCGGGCCCGGGAAAGCCTGGCGGTCCAGGTGATCCCACATCTCCGGGGAAACCGCGCTCGCCTTTGGGGCCGGGCAGGCCCAATCCCGGGGGGCCCCTCTCTCCTGGAGCGCCCTTCGTGCCCGGTGTTCCTGGGTAACCGGCGTCCCCTGGGGGGCCTGTGATGCCATCACCCTGCGTGAAAATTCGGTTTATCTCTTAAAATACGTGGGAACCTCAACGGCTACATCCCGGTTCTCCTTCCCATTCCCCTGAGTTGTGTGTGAGGGACACAGAGCCGAAGGACAGTGGAGAGTCACAGGTGCCTCAGTCACAGTCTAACTGAGCGTGGGATGAAGGCAGGTTTTGTGCACGAGTGACACAATGGGAGACACACAAATCTGAGTATTTGCTTTCCTCTTCCCAAGCCTCTCGCCCTCCTCAGTTGGGACCTTCATTCACAAGGAAGAATCCTGAGGGGGAATTAGGTGCAAGCCCAGATCATCAACAGGAGTAGGACAGACTGTTCTCACTGTCATGATGAGGCAGGTGTGACGTGTCCACTATCCACAGGGGTGATACGTCGTTGAAGAAAGGAGTCTGGTTTGGGCCAGAAGGAGCAGTGTGTTCACTGGGAATAAGGAGGTGAGACAGGACCAAAAAGGCAGGGTGCAGGGCGCCGTGGGGGCTCAGTCGGTTAGGCGTCCGACGTCGGCTCAGGTCATGATCTCAGGGTTTGTGGGTTCGGGCCCTGTGCCGGGCTCTGTGCTGACAGCTCAGAGCCTGGAGCCTGCTTCGGATTCTGTGTCTCCCCCTCTCTCTGTCTCTCTCCCGCCTGCACTCTATCTTTCTCTCTCTTAAAAATAAACATAAAAAACAACAACAACCCCGCAGGGTGCTCCCCGTGGACGAAACCACCCAGCAGGTGTGGAAGGCAGGCGGCAATGGAGAGATAAGGGGACTGTGGGCACGGGGGTCAGAGAATGGCTGTCAGCAGGTCAGGGGCAAACACAGCGGGCTTCACGCTGGGCCTATCTGGATGAGCCGGTGCAAAGCCATGCTGGCGAATCCCAGCCCATCTGTCCAAGCGAGAATGAGGCCGGGATGCGCCCACGGCAGGCGGCAGCCCGTGCAGGGCAGAGCCCCACCTCCCCAACCCCCCGAGGCTCCCCGCCCAGCTGGGATCCTAGGACCCCAGGCTGGACCCGCACTCAGCGCTGACAGGTGACGGCCCCTCGCTGTTTCCCGCCCATCTCAGGCACGGCTCGGAGGCGGCAGCGTGCCAATGCAACGGGGCTGCGCGAATTCTTTTTGGAAACGGTTTTCAGGGTTGAAACTAAAAAAGCAATACTGGGTTACGAATAATCCAGGTGTTTCCAGGGAGCCCACGAGAAGCGCACCAGGAGCGTGCGAGGGCCACAACTGGAAGTGACCCACATTGGGCACAGCTGAGGCCTGGCTTTTGGAACGCGGCAGACAAGCCGCTACAGGGAACCGCGGCGTGAGGCTGAGAAGGAAATGTCGCGGGGTGAACTGTGTCCCCGCCAGACGCTGGAGTCCTGATGCCCCTGCCTGAGAGCGTGGCTGCTCTGGACAGAGGGTCTGTGAGGGCGATCGGGGTAAGGAGAGGCGGAGCCCTGCAGACGGGAGTGCCAGATACAGACAGATACGTGGAGGGAAGCTGATGCGATGGCACAGGCAGGAGACACGAGGGACAGCCGCGGCCACCAGCACAGGGGGACAGCCTGGAGGAGGTTCTGCCTCAGGAGGAAGTGGCCGCCACCCCAGGCTCCCATTCTGTCCTCCACCAGGAGAAACACCTGTTAACTGGCTGGCCTAGAATGTTCCCTCCGGGCATGGCTTCTGACCTAACTCCCCGCTTCCTAATGGACAGGATTTGTGCTCATGAAACCACAGGGGCTGCACTGGGTGGACCCAGCCCCTCACTCGAGATACTCACAGGGGGGCCTGGGAGGCCTGGGAATCCATCCAGCCCGTCGCGCCCTGGGACACCGTCGTCACCTTTCAGACCAGGCACGCCTGGGACACCTGGCTGTCCCCTCTCACCTGGGAAGGGATTTGAGGTGTGACTGTACTCACCCAGGTGCTGCCACGGAAGGACTGCGGGTCCCGGAACTGCCAGACCCCGGAGACTGACCTTTGGTGGTGATTGCCCGAGAATCGCCCTTCACCCCTTTGGGCCCTGGAGGCCCGACGTTGCCAGGGGCGCCCTGTGGGAGCAAACACACAGTTTCTGCCTCCTTCACACTGTTAAGGACGCCAGGGAAGATGACAAGTTTCGGCTCACACAGCTCAGGAACCTCTCCAACATCATGCCTGGCGCTGCCCCCGAGGATCTTCTGCCCTGCGTGAGATGCTCTGCACCTGGTGGTCCAGCCACCAGCCACAAATGGCCATCGAGCGCCCGAATTAAATTTCAAATAATGAAAACTTAACAGAAGGAGTCATACGTGGCTGGATAGTGAAAACTAGAATCTTGCTACTCAAAGTGTGGTCCGCGGACAAGCAGCATCGGTCTCTCCTGGGAGCTCATTAGAAATGCAGAACCTTGGGGCACCTGGCGGGTCACTCGGTTACGGGTCTGACTCCTGATCTCGGCTCAGGTCATGATCTCACGGTTTATGAGTTTGGGCCCCGCATTGGGCTCTGCGCTGACAGCATGGAGCCCGCTTGGGATTCTCTCTCTCCCTCTCCCTCTGCCCCCCTACTTGTTCTCTCTCTCTCTCTCTCTCTCTCTCTCTCTGATAAATAAATAAACATAAAAAAAAAGGCACAACCTTGGGCCCCACCCTGGGGTACGGAACAGGAATGTGTGTTTTAACAAACTCCCAGGGATTCACATGCTCGTGAACTCTTGAGAAACGGTGACCTAAGACAAACCCAAGGCTGCTAAATCTTCACCACATTAGTTAGAATCCAAGCCTCCACGTACAAAGGAGGCAAGTTTGTGCTCATTCAATACTGAGAACGACAAAGAGAGCTTTGTGGACGGCTCGTCTTCCAGACTGAAATTAAGGTTGGGAAAAAAAATCATACTTTAGAGACAAGCTTATCGCAGGGACATCACATTTTATGTCACAAAATCCAGTCTAGGTTCAGTGGGGAGAAAGGAGCAGGTTCACAGGCCAGGATGTTAATATGTGCGATGTGCTAGTTTCTGGAAAATCTTGCCTGTTGTTATTTGCAAGAATATGAGAACTTGCAGTGCTGGTCTAATGAAATGGACTGTTCTGAAAAATTCCACAGATACTTGATTTATTGATTTAGTTCTTTGCAGAAAAGGGCAACATTCTTTCCGAGTCCGGGAGGGCATGTGGCACACAGACAGCGCTCAGTCTGTAGGTGCTGGGCAAACAGGTGGACGGATGAACTCACTTACTGACTGACTGCCATGCTTCACTCTCCCACACTCTAGCAGCACAGGCAGTAAAAAACCAGAAACCATCCCTGGCATTTCTCCTGTAGCAGGCTTGCCAGACACATAAACATATAATTAAATGCAGGACAACAAACACGATACCTGAGGTCTCTGAACAAAAATGCCGTGGGTGTGTGTGTCACACAGCTGGGGGAAGCGTGTACCCTTGGAAGATGTCAGACACCCCTGGTGCACAAAATGGGATCCTTTTGGCTTCTAGGAGATACCCGATCGTTTTATAAACAACCGAAGATCCTACTAGTTTGGCCAGTAGTAATTGTGGAACTCTCACTGCATATGCATTTACATGCTGAGACCTCCCTGATTGGGAGACGGTATCATTTAAAAAAATTTTTTTAACGTTTATTTATTACTGAGAGACAGAGAGAGACAGAGCATGAGCAGGGGAGGGGCAGAGAGAGGAGGAGACAGAATCCCAACCAGGCTCCAGGCTCTGAGCCGTCAGCACAGAGCCCGACACGGGGCTCGAACTCACAAACTGCAAGATCATGACCCGAGTCGAAGTTGGACGCTTAATCGCCTGAGACACCCAGCTGCCCGGAGACAGTATCATAGCCCCTACTGTTCTAGTTGGACAGTACTGTGTTATCCTGAGGAATCTCAAGGTGTGAAGCAGAGAACAGGTGCTCTGGAACTCCTTTCGCCCTCAAAGCTCCTGTGTCACAAAGCGATTATAAGTCGGAACCTTCTGTATCAGCAGCTGCGTGTGGCTGCATCTCCCCGGCACCAGGTCACACAGCCAGGTCATTCTGTCCTCGGTCAAGAGTCCTGAGCAACTTTTCCCCTATTGGCTGAATAAGTAAAATGATAGACTTTCCACACTATAAATCTATTGTGATTATCTCTTATGTAAAATAAATGCTGTATAATTTCTTTGGCTTTAGCTGATACTGGCTTTGAAGTCACTGGTTAAAACCTCTTGCCCAGGAAAGATCTACAGATGTTCTTTTCATCGGTGTGAACTAAAATCCTAGGCGTGATCTAAAATAAAGGTGTGATACACACAAGGAATCCATGGGCAGGTAAGTTCACATACTCGTGTAAATTCATGATTTACTTGGGGGGGGGGGCTCACTTTTTAATCTGGTTCACAGAGACTTCATAAAATGCTTAATCAGTTCTGTACTAAATCTGAATGTTCTGTAAGTAAGATGCTTTACATCCAAAATGCTAGGTTTTTAAAATTTTTTTGAGATGTAATTTATACACCATAAAATTTACCATTTTGAAGCACGCAATTCGGGGTTTTTTTAGTGCAACGAAAACAACTGCAATAATTGCGAGATTGTGCAACCGTCACTATTATATAATTTCATCACCTCCCCCAGAAAACCCCAGAGCCATGAAACACTCACTGCCCCTCCCCTTCCCCCAGCCCCCAGTGACTGCTGTCTGCTTCCTGTCTCTAGATATGCCTGTCCTGGACACTTCCACAGTGGCCACGCCGTTCACATTCTCACCAGTGAATGTTTCGAGGTTCCTCCCAGAGCACGTGGCCTTTTTGGATGGAGCACTGGGAGGGGGGTGAGCGTTGGTGGTCTAAATCTGCGTTCATTTAATAGACAAAAGCCGTCAAGGACATCCTATCAGCTCTGATGGGACTGGTGTCTCACCTTGAACCCTGGGAACCCAGGGATGCCATGCTGGCCGGGGTCTCCCTGGCTCCCTTTCTTCCCAGGCTCCCCGTTGATGCCTGGAAGGCCCTTGGGTCCTGGTGGCCCCGGGAGGCCCCCGATGAACTGGTCGCCTTCTGCGCACTTACAGTCCCCAGCGTCACCTGCAACACGAGGGAGGCAGGAAGGCTCACTATGTGCTCGTGAAGCACGTGCTTTGCCGGGGGCAGAAGTCCAGGGCGGTGGGGGCTGGACCGAGGAGGGGGCACTTGGGGACCTCCTGTGCTCGGGGGACTGTTACCCATTACCCCCGTTTCCTGGATGAGGAATGTGAGTTACTCCCCGGGACGCAGAACCCTGCCACGTTTACCCAACATGTTACCCAACAGGCCGTTTACAGAGCTGTGTGTGGAGCTGAGGAACAGGGGCTCCAGAGGCCACCACGGGCCTCCCAGGTCAGGGACGGGGGGCAGACAAGGCTCCAGGGTCTGGGACAAAGGGGGGCCATGGGTGGGGGGGGGTGTGCCTGGCTGGAGCGGTGGGTTCAGAGCCAGGATCCCTGGTGGGAGGGAAGAAATCTGTGACCTCCCTTCTTTGTGTGCCTGTGGCGGGGCCCGGGGAACCCACTGTTGGTGGCGGGTGCTCCCCAGGGCACAGGTGGCAGGCGGGGGCTCACGGGAGGAGTCCTCTGCAGCCCTCCATGGTGAGTGATTCTGCAGTCACCACCTCCCCTCCCCCAGGCGCCAACACACCCTCACGTCCCGTGTGAGCCACAAAGGTTGGGGTGTGCTGCTTGGGGCCCCTGGGCGGCCGCCTCCCAGAAACAGAGCGTCCCCCGGGCGCAGCATATTTCGTACACAGAAACCCCTTTGTTCTGCTCGGTCGACCGCACCTCCACCAGCAGCGGGGGTGAGCCCAGGGCGCCTGCCCTGCGGTGACTAGTCCCTAACTCGGGGAGATGGGCAGCCAGGCCTAGTCTAAGGGAACTCCGTAGCGGACAAGCTTGCGCAGGTGCTCGTTACGCGGCCTTGGTGCTGAGCCCTTAGAGGAATCATGGATTCATTGGCTCCGTAGCGGGCTCCGCACTCCCAGAAGGTTCAGTGGTGTAGGCGGAGACACAGATGGGAGGAGGGAGCGCAGACGGAGGGCCGGGTGGTGGGTGCCACGCACCTCGGCTCTGGTAACACCGTGGGAGAAAGGAGGCGCAGGGGGACGCGGAGGGTTGTCTCACGTCAGAGCCAGTGAGAGGGGTCATGGCCTCCCGCCCTTCCTCCGGTGCTCTCGACATTCCTTACCTTTCCAGCCTTTCTGTCCGCGAGCCCCAGGGAAACCAGAAGGGCCAGGGTAGCCCACATTTCCTTCCGCTCCTTTAAGGCCGAAAAGGAAACCTAAGGAGAAGATCCAAGGGCGGCCCGTGAGCACGGTGTGGAGACCCCACGTCTCCCCGGACCCAGTGCTGGAAGGGTTACCGCGAGGTCCCCCAACAGGGTGTGACTCCATCCCAGGACACCCTCTGGGCCATTCTGTGGCCACAGCTCCCAGGGACGCAAGGAAATGAGAGGGGCTAGGTGTTCAGCTTTTCTATTGAAGTCTAGAGATAAAAACCTTTGCTTTTGGGAAATGTTGAGTCCAAGGAAAGGCTTTCACTTTCTACCATGTATTTTATCCCACTAAAAAAAATTTATTTATTTTGATACAGAGAGAGAGATAGAGCATGAGCAGGGGAGGAGGAGGAGAGAGAGAGAGAGAGAGAGAGAGAGAGAGAGAGAATCCTAAGGAGGCTCCGTGCTGTCAGCACGGAGCCTGATGTGGGGCTTGAACCCACAAACTGCGAGATCATGACTTGAGCCGAAATCAAGAGTCAGAGGCTTAACTGACTGAGCCACCCAGGTGCCTCTTAGTTTATCGTTTTTCAAAAAAAGTGATTTATTTTTTAGTTTCTTAAGATTTTATTTTTACTAATTGTATTTTCTTCTTTTTAGTCTTCTATATAGTTTCAAACTCTGAATAGTAAACACATTCTTTTATAATAATTAAAAAAAAAGCCAATTTACATGTAAAAAAAAATTCTATGGGCATTTATACATCGTGGGGACAACTGGTATCTTTACAATATTTCTGTGTAATCGACCACATATTTACGTGCTAAAGGCTTGTAATCCAAAACCAACACAAGTTTGGTGTCCCCAAAAGGCAGAAAACAGAATAAGATATTAAAACTACCTCGGTTCCCTAACGATCCCCCTGGAGCAGGTGCACAGCCGGGTTTGTGTAGTTAATGCAGAGAACAGGGGACCACCTGGCTCCGGCAACCTCACCTCCCCTTTCCCGACCCTCACCCCCAGTAACTAGGCTCAGGGCCCCTCAGAAGCTCCACTAATTCCGAGCAGGGATATATGGAGGGATTAGACCCACCCACCTTCTGGCCGCGTCTACTGGACGGCAGCGCCACCTTGTGGTGGGAACGAGCCGCGCACTCCTAGACACAGCAGGGCCCCGAAGGACTGGAGGGTCCCCCACCCTGTCTGTCCTCAGGGCCAAACCCAGTGAGGCTCTGAGGCTCGCAGCCCCAGATCCAGACCTCCCCCGCCCTACACTGGGACACATGCTGCCATTCCGCAGGGAGGGAGAGGGAAACAGGCCACTAGGGAGACCGGAAGGAGAGGAAACACCCATGCTAACGTTTGCTAACTGCTTGACAGAGGGACACCAGGATTTCAATGTCAGCAGCCTCCCAAGTAGGGATAGATATTTATGGAAGGGTGGCGATGACTACTGTCCCGTGTGGCTCGCTCTCCCTACACATTCAAGATGATCACTCTCTTTCGCTCTCGGGCGTCCAACATCTGTCCCATCTGGCACCTGCGTGAGCCAGGCGCCGTGTCTGCAGCTGGAGAGAAAACCGCAGACCCTCACAGTGCCTACGGTTTACGTGTGGACACACAGCAGACACACATTAGTGAACAAACCCACACGGAAGTTCAAATGAGGGCTGGAGCCACGTAAACAGGGAGCTGTCAGGGACAGCAGTAGAGAAAGCCCGTTCAGAATGGGGGGGTCAGGAAAGCCCAGTCTAGGTGCTGGCCCAGGACCCAAGGAACAAGAGGGAGCTGGCCGAGCGTGGGCACCGGGGATCTGGAGAGAACAGCGCACCTGAGAGCCCCTGAGGTGGGAGGAAAGCCAGGAACTGGAGGGGAATGCCAGGGGCTGGGGTTTTCTCCAAGGGCAATAAGGAGCCATTAAGGAGTTCTGAGGGGGGACGTCACACAAGTTTACGGGTTAAAAATCTACATGCTACCCCTGCAGACAGTTGAGTGGAGGCTGGTGATGAGCAGGCTGACTATAGCAGACACGCGCGGTGTGTATTCGAGCAGCACAGGGGGCGTGGGGGAAAAGTGGTGGACAGACTGCAGAGGCAGAGTCCGTGGGACCTGGCGATGGGTCCAGTGTGTGGGCGAGCGAGGCTGTGGCCCAAGCTCCGGGTCTGTGTGTGTGTGTCGGGGCGGGGACGAGGCCCAGCACGGGGCGTGTTGGGTCGGGGAGCCGGGCGGCAGGAGACCCAGAGTTCAGTGTGGACACACAAAGTTCGAGATGTCTGTGAGACAAGCCAGGCGGCCACGTGACGGGTGACAGTTTGTGAGAGTCGGGGGCTCAATACAGAAGTGGATGGGGGACACAGGGAGTGCGGGCAAACGGCCTGAGCTTAAGGTCACCTTAACTGGGGGGGTCCAGTGGGTGGGGGTACAAGACAAGGGTCCAAGACCAAACTTCAACGAACCCTGTCACCTCCCAGACTGTGTAGGCGGGAGAAGGAGGGGCCAGCAAAGGCGCCTTGAAGAGAACAGCCAGTGAGAT